GAGCAACATAGGGTGAGAGCGCGGGTCGGGGGAGACAGGACGAGCACGGGAGGGGCGGCAAGACCAGACGTGAGAGGGAGGCGTCGGGTCAGGAGACAGAGGAGGGGACACTGGTGGGGAACGAGGGGGAAAACGAGCCGGGGACGAGTCCGGCGGAGGGAACACAGGGCCGTAGACGGGAAGAGGAGGAGACGGCAGGTGAGGAACAGGCGCAGGGTCAGGGGACGGAAGGCCGAGCAGACGGAGGGCGGACACCGGCGGGGACTGCTGCTGCGGCGACACAACACCAACGCCAGGGCCACAAGCTGCGCGACGGCTACCTCCCGAACCCTCCACACCGGCACCCCCAGAAGGGACACCCCCAGAGCACGAAACCCCGCCAGCACCGGTACCACCCCCAGGCCCGCCGGGACAAGCCACGACAGGAGACCCGGGACTAGTACACACCTCAACGCCAGCACCCCCAGAGTCCACAAACAGCGGCAGCGACGACTGCGGCGGCGGCTGCAGCGACGGCCGCGACGACGGCGGCGGTGGAGACGACGGCTGCAGCAGCTGCGGCGACGGCGGCTGCGGAGGCGGTGGAGGAGGAGACACCGGGGGAGGGACAGACGGCGAGGACTGCACCGGAGGACTACCAGAGTCAGAAGACTCGTCGACCGGGACGACCGACGGGAGGGGGGTGACGTGAGACACACCAGAGGGGGCCGGACGGGGTGGCGGGGGGGGGGGAGGGGCAGGGACCACCGGGGAAGGAGGGACCAGGAACAGGGGGGGAGTAACCGGGGGACCACGGTGGGGGAAGCGGCGGTAGAAGGAGACGGACTCGTCAAAGGTGACGTCGCGAGAGTGAAAGAAGCGGTGAGACGGCGGGTGGTAGAAGTGCCAGTCGGACGCGTCAAGGGGGAAACCGAGGAAGACGCAGGGGAGGGTGCGGGCAGTGAGCTTGTCCGTGCCAGAGGCACGAACGTGAGCAAGGCAGCCCCAGACGTGGAACGCAGACGCGTCACCAGGGGACCCGGTCCACAGAAGGGTCGGCGAAACCGGCGGCCGCTGGGGGTGCGGCCACAGGTTAAGCTGGTGAGCGCCGTAGCGCACGGCGAACGGCCACAGAAAATGGGGTGCACCGGCGTGGATCATGGAGGTGCGAGCCACCTCCATGACCAAACCGATGCGTCGCTCAGCGACCCCATTCTGCTGCGGGGAGTCCGGTAGGGTGAACGTCTGGGTGATGCCCTCCGCACGACAGAAGCGACCAAGGACACCTGAGGCAAACTCGCCACCCCGGTCGGAGTGGAGGCGCAAGGCAGGGAGACCGCGGTGGACACGAGCAGAGACAAGCCAGGGGATGAGAACGTCAGGCACGTCGGCCTTCCGCTCCAGGGGAAAGACGGTGGTGTAGCGCGTGAAGTCGTCGACAAGCACTAGGAAGAAGCGCTCGCGACGCGGCCCATGGACCGGGGCTGGGCCCCAGACGTCCATGTGCAGAGTCTGCAGTGGTGCGGTGGTAGGGGGAAACGAGGAGGAGTGAGGGGCACGGCGGAGGCGGCCCTCGACACAAGGCGTGCATGGGGGGGCGGGGGAGGAGGGAAACTCGGGGAACGAACCGGGGAGACCAAGGACGAGACCGTGCTGGGACATGTGACGCAGACGCGGGAGTGCAGGGTGACCAAGGCGGTGGTGCCAAAGGAGAGTCGGGTGAGTGAGGGACCGACAGGAGCACGCAGCAGCAACCTTGGTGGACGCAGCGACCTGGGGGGAAGACCCAGCCGGGGAAGTCGCGGTGTCAAGTGTGAACAGGCCGGACACCGGGTCCCGGGGGAAAGTGGTAAGGGGGGCACCAGTGGCGGCCTCGGTACAGACAGCATACCGCTCGTGACCAGGGAACGTAGTGGTGACGCCAAGGTCCTGGAGGCAGCCGACACCAACTAGGTTCCTGGAGAACGAGGGGATATGCAGACCTGTGAGCGAACCTGAAGGAACCGCCGGACAAGGAAGGGAGGTGGAACTGCGGGCAACGACGGGACCACCGGAGGGGTCAGCAAGAGTAACTGCAGCGGGAACAGGCAGCGGCGTCAGCGTCGTGGAGTCGCGGAAGAAACACCGGGAGGCGCCAGAGTCCAAGGTGAAGGAAAGCGCAGCAGTCGCGCGAGGCGGCAGTGAAGCGGTGGAAGCACCGAGGCTAAGCAAAGCAGGAGATCCTACGCCTGACGCAGCAGGGGAGTCTACGATAGGCACATCTACACTAGGCAACACAGGGTAATAAGAGGGAAGCACACTAGAGTCATCAGCATACATCACATGCAAGGCTGCTACAATGGCATCCATGTCCAAGTCAAAAATCTGAATGCTACGCCTAAGCAAGCTGTGCCAGTCCGGGAGGTCGGGCGCCGGGCCAAAGCGCTGACGGAACAGGTCGTCCAGACGACGAAAACAGCGAGGAGTGGAATGACCGATCTTACCGCAAACGAAACTGCAGCGAGGACCGGTCTGGATCTGGTACTGACAGCGCCCGCCTCCAGAACCACCACCCGGCGCACCACCACGCGCACGACCACCACCAGCTCCAGGCCACCCAGGCGGGAGAGCACTCGCCTGCCTCGTCTGCGGCGGCTGCTGCGGCTGCTGCGGAGGCTGCGGCTGCGGCGACTGCTGCTGCTGCTGCTGCTGCGACTGTGGAGGCAGCGGGGCAGCTGGACTGAGCAGGGTCCCCACGTCCGCACCAGCACCGGACGACCCGACTCCACCACCACCCCCACCCGCACCCCCGCCGCCTCCGCCGCTCCCAACCTTGGGGCGGCGGCCCTTCCCCGAGCGGGACTGCACTGCAGCAGCAGTCTCAGCCACAGCGATAGAGCCGTCGGAGAAGGTACACTGAGCGGGGGCACAACCCTGAAAGATAGGGACCGGTACTGTACCGCTCGCCTGGGCGATGGAGCGGTGACGAGTCTCTATAACAGTCAGGGTGTCAACAAAGTCGGTGAGGGTGAGAGCAGCGGGGTGGATGCTAAGGAACTGGTCGCGGGCGGCGGCAAGGCGGTCAGGGAGGCGGGTGGCAAGGAGGTAGAGGGTAGAGGTCATGGGAGGCTGGTGGACTCTAAGCTGTGCATCAGTGCAGGCAGCGCGCCAGGTCTCATCGATCGAGCGCAGGTGGGCAGCGAGGTCAGAGACAGTGGGGAAAGACGCAAGGTCAGGAAAGAGCAGGGGGAGGATCAGGCGACCCACTGAGGCGGCAGGAGGGGTAGAATAGCGCTTGATGACAGCATCGAGGTAGGCCTGGGCGGTAGTAATGGTTCTAAAGCGAGGGCGCTCAGGGGGGGGGAGGGCATTGCTAATGGCGAGCTGAGCAAGGGCATCGCGGGAAAGCCAGACAGAGCGGGCAAGGGCAGCGGCGGCAGTGGACTCGCGCTCAGCGGGCGTGGGATCAGCGGGCAGCACAGCAGGGGGGTCAGGGCAGGGGAGCATACCGTCTAGGTGGGCAGAAAGCGGGTGGCCGTCCTGCCGCTGACCGGTGAGGTGGCGACGAAGGTCAGCCAACCACGCCTCGAACTCCAGAGGCTGGCCCTCAGCATCAAAACGAAGCTCAGCAGCCATCAGGGGCAGTGTAGGACGGTGGAGTGCGGTGTAGTACTGTGCAGTGCGGTGCAGTGCGGTCCAGTGCGGCGCAGTGCGGTGCAGTGCGGTCCAGTGCGGTGCAGTGCGGTCCAGTGAGGTGCAATGCGGTGCAAGGCGGGGCAGGGAAGTGCAGGAGGGTGCAAAGCGGTGCGGGGAACGGGGGACAGTACCAGGAAGTATGTAGGGCCGGGGCAGGCGCGACGGGGCCGGGCGGCTGCGACGGGGCCGGGCGGCTGCGACGGGGCCGGGCGGCTGCGACGGGGCCGGGCGGCTGCGACGGGGCCGGGCGGCAGCGACGAGGCTGGGCGGCTGCGACGGGGCCGGGCGGGCGTGACGGGGCCGGGCGGGTGCGACAGGGGCCGGGCGGCTGCGACAGGGGCCGGGCGGGCGCCACGGGGCCGAGCGGCTGCGACGGGGCCGAGCTGGGGCGACGGGGCCGAGCAGGTGTGACGGGGCCCAGGAGGGGCGCGACGGGGCCCAGGAGGGGCACTACAGGGCCCTGGAGGGGCGCGACGGGGCCCAGGAGGGGCGCTACGGGGCCCAGGAGGGGCGCTAAGGGGGGCCCAGGAGGGGCGCGACGGGGGGGGCCCAGGAGGGGCGCGACGGGGGCCCAGGGAGGGGCGCGACGGGGGGCCCAGGGAGAGGCGCGACGGGGGCCTGGGAGGGGCGCGACCGAGCCCAGGAGGGGCGCGACAAAGCCCAGAAGGGGCGCTACGAAGCCCTGGAAGGGGCGCGACGGGGCCTGGAGGGGCGCTACGAAGCCCTGGAAGGGGCGCGACGGGGCCTGGGAGGAGCGCGACGGGGCCTGGAAGGAGCGCGACAGGGCCTGGGAGGAGCGCGACGGGGCCTGAGAGGAGCACGACAGGGCCCAGGAGGGGCGCTAAGGGGCCCAGGAGGGGCGCGACGGGGCCCTGGAGGGGGGCGCTACAGAGCCCAGGAGGGGCGCGACGGGGGCCTGGAGGGGCGCTACGAAGCGCTGGAAGGGGGGCGCGACGGGGCCTGGAGGGGCGCTACGACGACCTGGAAGGGGCGCGACGAGGCCTGAGAGGAGCACAACGGGGCTAGGGGGGGGAGTCGCGACTGGGCTCAGGAGGGGTGAGGCTAGGCTAGGAGATGCGACGGGAGGAGAGGAAGCGGTAGGTGGGGGGGGGGGGGGGTCGAAACCTACGCGTGATACCATCTCAAAACTAGAATGAATAATAGTAGAGTTAGAGGGTACATGCACATATACCTAAATGTTGTACCCTCTAGGTGATTACCCTATACAGTCTATACAAACATGATCAATAAACATGTTTGACACTGTACTGCGTCCTACCTTTGTAGCCCTCCATATATTCCTTCAGCTCACTACTCTCTCAACAGTTGGGACGTGAAGTCAGATGAGGAATCAATAACACTCATGTCCACTCAACAGCATGTACACAATTATTTTATGATACCAAATAAAGCAAGCAATAAATCACTCGTGGATCATGGCATTTAGTATCCACTCCCTGCCCGGTTCTCCTAGCAAGCACCCCCCATCGAAAAGAAAAACCGATTTTCCAGAGGATTCCGAGAGAGAAGAAACCCCTTCCCAAGTATAGCCCCCAACCCATCCACAACCCTAGCATGCGAAGTACCAGTACAGTTAGGGCGGATTCCTACGAAGTTGAATCCAACGCGCGTGGTATAGTGCAGTGCATTTGTCGAAAAATGTGCAGTCAGTGCTGTTCAGTTCGGCAGTGCACGTAACTAGATCCAACTTCGCCGGATCCCGCTTTGTAGGGATCCGCCCTGACACATGAAATGAACCAACCAATCCCAGGATGTCAAACTCACAGAAAATGGATGGAAAATACCAATGCAGTCACCCCACACCACGAGCCCACGATTTCACCATCCCATTCCAGTCCAATCTCCCACCACAAATCACAACTGCCATCACCACCATCCCTCTACCTCGCTCTCCGCTCAATTTCCGCTCCACCAATTGGACACCTTCGGCAGGCCCGTCCACTTGCCCTTCTTCCCGGGCTTCTTGGGGGACCCAGAGCGGCCACTGGTGCTGGCAGGGGGCATGGGGGCGTCCAAGTCCCGCTTCTTCCCCTTGAACTTCTTATGGTAGAGAATCTGAGACAGCTCCGAATCCTCGGGGATAATCTCGAAGGTGTTGTGCCACCAGTCCCCAACATCCTTGCCGAAATTAGACTCAGCCGTCGAGAGAGCGGCAGCCATGGCTCGCACCTGCTTCTGCGGCCCAACCCGGCGCCGACTGCACGACATAAAGTTGGGATACTTCTGGTAAATCATGTCCGTCAGATTCGACACGCCGAAGTCGTCCCCGGTGAAATTATCAAACTTGAAGTAATTCCACGGGTAGTTGAACGACACCGAGGTGATGTTATTCGTGGGGACCACCGACGGCAGCGCGTCGCAGTTGATGTAGTACGGGTTCCAGCGGCCGTTGGTCCCGTTGATAATGGTCAGCTCGATGTGGTTGAGGCCGGGGACGCCGCTGCACTTGCCGGTGTAGTTGTAGTCGGCGGTGCGCTGCTTACCCACGGTGGAATAGGAGAGGTACTGCGAGCAGTAACCGGTCCAGTTCTTGGGGAGCTCCATCGGGGGGTCGGGGTTGCAGGGCTGGCCCCCCACCCACTCTGTGCGGTTGCAGAGACCCGAGAGGAAGGGCCAGTTCTGGGGGATGCGGAGGGGGACGGGGGGAGAGGGGAAAGGTGAGGAGAGAGAGGGGAGGGGAATAGTGAGTGGGGGTAGCAGGGTGGGTGTGGGGGGGAGAGGAAATGCGAGGGGGAGTAGGTGCAGGGAGAGGCGAGAAGCGGAGTGAAGGGGCAAGAACACAAGACCAGAAAAGCAACAAACGGAGACAGCCATTGTCGTGTGAAACCACCAAACGCATGCACACCACACCCACACCAAAACCCCCACTAACACCCATGCGCACGCACTGACGCACCCACACCCACACACACGCTCACTCCCCTGGTCCCAAACCCACACCCACACCCACACCCTCACGCACGCTCCCACTCCCCGGTCCCACCGCACGCACCTTGCGCCAGCCGGGCGTGTCGAAGCGGGCGACATAGGCGCTGTACCACTTGAAGCCGAGCCCGCGGCCCGCCCACGAGTTGCAGTTGTTGTCGCACCAGTTCTGGCAGCTCATGATG